GCCTTAGCCGCTTGAGCCACAGGCGCCGAGCCAACCGTTAATTTTTTTAATTATTATTTACAGGTTTTTTTTTTTTGGCCAGAGCCAGGTTTGAATCTGCCACCTCTGGTATATGGGGCCTGCGCCCTACTCCTCTGAGCCATAGGTGCCGCCCTTTTTTTTTTTTGAGACAGAGTCTCACTCAGCAACCTTAAACTCTTGGACTCAGGCGATCCCCTTATCTCAGCCTCCCAAGTAGCTGGGACTACAGGTGCCCACCTGGCTACAACACCTGGCTAGTTTTACTATTTTTAGTAGAGATGGTCTTGCTTTTGTTCAGGCTGGTCTCGAACTTGTAAAGTCAAGCAACCCACCTACCTTCACCTCCCAGAGTCCTAGGATTACAGCTGCCACCCCACGCCAAATTTCTGTTGTTTTCAGTCAAGTCTGTATTGAACTATTACAAGTAGCCACAGGAAACTAACACACCCAGTGAAACTCTTGTTAACTTCTGATGTGCAGGGCTATAGGGCAATAAATTCGTGCTATTTAAGCCACAGTTTGTGAGAATGAGCAGGAAAGGAACACAGCAGCCATGTGGGGAACACACCCAGGAGCAGACCCTCAGCTTGGGTAACTGCACCTCAGAGGACAGTCATCAGTGTCTGAAGACATTTCTTTTTTTTGAGACAGAGCCTCAAGCTATCGCTCTGGGTAGAGTGCTATGGCATGACAGCTCACAGCAACCTCCAACTCCTGGGCTCAAGCAAGTCTCCTGCCTCCACCTCCCAAGCAACTGGGATTACAGGTGCCCGCCACAATGCCTCACTATTTTTTGGTTGCAGCCATCATTGTTGTTTGGCAGGCCCGGGCTGGATTCAAACCTGCCAGCTTAGGTGTACGTGGCTGGCGCCTTAGCCGCTTGAGCCACAGGCACTGAGCCTGAAGACATTTCTGATGGGTGCAACATGGAACGTCTATGGGCATCTGGGGGATGGAGGCCAGAGAGGCAGCTAAACATTGTGCAATGCATAAGATGGCCCCTAAAGAATCATGTAGCCCCAGCCAAGTTGAGGCATCCTGCTGTAGAGGACAGAAGCAGAGGCAGGAGTGCCTATGAAACAGTATGGGGGCTGGAGATAAATGGATAGTTTCTGAAGTTCTAGAAACAGGCAGCAAAAACATCTGTCATGGACTGAGGGTTGTGCTCAAAGAAACAGCTGCTGTGCTATTGTGTTCACAGCCACTAGATGGAGCACCGGTGGAGGTAGAAAAGCCGGTCCAAGTGAGCTGGAGAGCATCAAAGCCCAGCTCAAGCTTAAGGGGACTGTATTAGCTCTACTGTTACTGTAACAAATTTCCACAATGGCTAAAAGCAACACAAATTTATCATTCTACAGTAGTTTTATTAGCTTGAAATCAAAGTGCTGGCAGGAATATGTTCCCTCCTACTGGAGATTAAGAGGAGAATCCCTTTCCTTACCTTCTCCAGCTTCTAGAGCTGAATTCTGCGGCTCATGGCCCCTTCCCCCACCTTCAGAACTTCAGCTGTCACATTGCTTTCTGTTTCTATCATCAATGTTCCTCTGCGTCCCTCTTACAAGAACCCTTGGGGAGGTACCTGTAGCTCAGTGGGTAGGGTGCCAGCCACATACACCAAGGCAGGAGGGTTCAAACCTGGCCTGAGTCAGCTAAGCAATAATGACAACTGCAACAAATAAAAAGTAGCTGGGCACTGTGGCAGGTGCCTGTAGTCCCAGCTACCTGGGAGGCTGAGGCAAGAGAATCACTTGAGCCCAAGAGTTTGAGGTTGCTGTGAGCTGTGATGCCACAGCACTCTACCAACAGCGACACAGTGAGACTCTGTCTCAAAGAAAAGAAACCTTGAGATTATACTTAGGGCCCACCTAGGATCACCTACCTGGCTCAAGACCCTTAACTTAATTATACCTTGTCATGTCAGGGAACATATTCACAGGTTTCAGGATTAGGGCATTGGGAGGCCATTATTCAGCTCACCAAGAGGACACAGTGGGGACAACTCCTAAGTCATGTGGGAATGATAAAACCAAGGAGGGCCTCAAGCCAAGTTTGAGTGGAGTCAAAGTTCATCCTACCTACACCTCCTGCTTTCCTATAAGGAATCCTGTGAGGGCCCTCTGACGGCCTCAGAGAACACCACCTAGTGGGGTGAGCCCCTTATATCCAGGCCTCCATTACCTTCTCCTCTTCTGCAAAACTTCCCTCAAACCTCTGCCTATCTGCCCCCTCCTGTTACCGTCTGGATCAGTAGCTCCAGGTCTCGGGCTTCAAATGTGTGCTGATTCTGAGGGTCCAGATGTTCAAACTGTTTCAGGAGATTCAGGTGATCCACCTGTACATCTGGATAGGAAGAGCCAACAACACAATTTATGTTATGTTCTCTTTCAAAATCCCTATCTTGGGCCAGATGTGCTCTAAAGAAGGCACAAAGGGCACTGGGGAAGCCCAGAGGGCATCCTGACTGGGGCAAATCAGAGACATTTCCAAGAGGAAGTGATCCCACAACTGAGCCTGATGCTTAACATAATAATAACCACAATAATAGGCTTGGTGTCCGAAGCTCAGTGGTAATGGCGCCAGCCACACATACCGGGGCTGGTTGGGTTTGAACACAGCTAGGGCCTGCTAAACAACAATGACAACAATAGACAAAAATAGCCGGGCGTTGTGGCAGGCACCTGTAGTCCCAGCTACTTGGGAGGATGAGGCAAGAGGCAAGAGAATCTCTTAAGCCCAAGAGTTTCAGGTTGCTGTGAGCTGTGATGCCACAGCACTCTACTCAGGGCGACATAGTGAAACTCTGTCTCAAAAAAAAAAAAAAAGGAAAAGAAAAGAAAAGAAAGAAAAAGGCAGGCAAGAAGAAAAGGAAGGAAGGAGACCTTATTTGGTGACAGGGTCTTTATAGAGGTGATCAAATTAAAATGAGGTCATGACCATGAGCCTTAATCTAACTTGACTAGTGTCCCTATAAACAGGGGAAATTTATCTTTTTTTTTTTTTTTTTGAGACAGAGTCACCAGCTATTGCTCTGGGTAGAGTGCTGTTGCATCATAGCTTACAGCAACCTCCAACTCTGGGGCTCAAGCAATCCTCTTCCCTCAATTTTTCTATTTTTAGTAGAGATGGGGTCTTGCTTGCTCAGTCTGGTCTCCAACTCATGAGCTCAAGCAATCCACCCACCTTAGCCTCCCAGAGTGCTAGGATTACAGGCACAAGCTACTGAGCCTGGCCTAGAAAAGGGAAATCTGGACACAGATACACAGAGAGAAGGCGGCCATCTACAAGTCATGGAGAGGCCTGGATCACAGCCTTCCCTCGTGGCCCTTGAAAGGAACCTGCCCTGTGGACACCATGACTTGGGACTCAGGCCTCCAGAACTGTGAGACTATACATTTCTGCCGTTTAAGCCACCCAGCCTGTGGTACTTTGCTATGGAAGCCCTAGCAAAGGAAAGTGACCTCCCTTGGATGGGAACTTCCAAGAAGTCAGGAAGGGGTAGGAAGGAGGAAGAGCAGAGAACACCCAGAGTGACTCAGACCTGTCCCAGCCCTCCAATGGTCCTTTGTCAGGTGGGGAGAAAGACACACGCAGGCAGCTGGAATTAGGTGACCCTTGTGACAGTACAGGGAACTGTGGGCCTGGCTGAGCACAGAGGAGGAATGAGTGTTTGGCAGAAAGGCACAGATAGAATCTCAAATTCATTATTCGTGCAGGGGACGCGTGCTGAGCCCCTGCTCCAGGCTGACCCTGTGCCCGGCAGTATGGATGCAGCTTGAACCAGACAATGACAGATATTGCCCCCTGGAGCACCCAGTTTAGAAAGATAGAGTACAGGCGACCAAGGAATGAACAAAGGACCACAAGGGGGCGGTGCCTGTGGCTCAAGGAGTAGGGTGCAGGCCCCATATACTAGAGGGGTGGGTTCAAACCTGGCCCTGGCCAAAATCTGCAAGAAAAAAAAAAATCTCCTTTTGGGCACGCCTGTGGCTCAGTGAGTAGGGCGCCGGCCCCATATACCAAGGGTGGCAGGTTCAAACCCAGCCCCCGCCAAACTGCAACAACAAAAAATAGCTAGGCATTGTGGCCGGTGCCTGTAGTCCCAGCTACTAAGGAGGCTGAGGCAAGAGAATCGCCTAAGACCAGGAGCTGGAGGTTGCTGTGAGCAGTATGAAGCCACGGCACTCTACCAAGTGAAACTCTGTCTCTACAAAAAAAAAAAAAAAACCCCACAAGGGACACAAACAAATAGTGGCTCCTTCATGTAGGACAGCCAGGACCAGCATCTCTGAGGAGGCAACCTCTGAGCTGAGACATAAGCTTGGTTAGCCAAGCAAAGAGAAAGAACTGGGCAGCACCTGTGGCTCAAGGAGTAGGGTGCCGGCCCCATATATCAGGGGTGGCGGGTTCAAGCCTGGACCTGGCCAAAACTGCAAAAAATAAATAAATAAACAAAGAGAAAGAACCTCACTCCCTGGCAGAGGGGAACAAATGGGCAAAGGTCATGGGATAAGAACAATGTGCCCCAGTCCTGCAATCTCTAGAAATGCTGATGCAAGAGGGTTGGGCCCAGGCAGCAGGCATGGTGGCTCATGCCTATAACTATAGCACTCTGGGAAGCCAAGGTGGGTAGACTGCTTGAGCCCAAGAGTTAAAGACCAGCCTGAGAAAGAGCAAGACCTCATCTTTAAAAAAACAGCCAGGTGTTGTGGCAGCCACCTGTAGTGCCAGCTACTCAGGAGGCTGAGGCAAGAGGGATCATCTGAGCCCAGGAGTTAGAGGCTGCTGTGAGCAATGATGCCACAGCACTCTATTGAGGACAACATAGTGAGACTCTGTCTCCAAAAAAAAAAAAAAAATGCAGCGCCCATAGCTCAGTGTGTAGGGGTGCCAGCTATATCCACCGGTGCTGGTGCGTTCGAACCTGGCCAGTGCCTGCCAAAACAACAATGACATTGGGCTGCACCTGTGGCTCAGTGAGTAGGGTGCTGGCCCCATATACCGAGGGTGGCAGGTTTAAACCTGGCCCCCAGCCAAACTGCAACAACAACAACAACAAAAAATAGCTGTGCATTGTGGCGGGTCCCTCTAGTCCCAGCCACTTGGGAGGCTGAGGCAAGAGAATCGGCTAAGACCAAGAGCTGGAGGTTGCTGTGAGCTGTGATGCCACAGCACTCTATTGAGGGTGACAAAGTGAGACTATCTCTTAAAAACAAAAAACTGCAACAACAAAATAAATAGCCAGGTGTTGTGGTGGGCGCCTGTAGGTCCCAGCTACTTGGGAGGCCAAGGCAAGTCTCACTTAAGTCCAAGAGTCTGAGGTTGCTGTGAGCTGTGACACCACAGCACTCTACTCAGGGTGACAGCTTGAGATTCTGGCTCAAAAAAAAAAAAAAGGGTTGGGCCAATGGCACACAAGGGAAAGAGGGTGTGGTGAGGCCAGTCTAACTGCCAACCAGCAGTGAGGAGGATGAACTTGAGCGCCCAAGGGTGCTAGGGAGCCCCAGACAGGCTCTGAGTGGAGGGACAGGGCTTGAACTGGATGTTGTGGTGGTTGAATAACGGTCCCCTCAAAGACACACATGTCCTAATCCCTGGAACATGTGAATTTGTAACCTTACATGGCAAAAGGGTCTTGGAAGATGTGATCAAATTAAGGATCCAGAAATGGGGAGATGATCCTGGATTACTGGGCCCCCTAAATGTTACCACAATGGTCCTTATAAGAAGAATGCAAAAGGAAATTTGGCTGTCATAGAAGAAGGCACTATTTAACGACTGGAGAAAATAGCATGCTGCTGTCTTTGAAGATGGAGGAAGGGGCGCCCAAGCCAAGGACAGGACAGGTTCTTCCCAGTCACCAGTGGGGCATGGCTCAGATCACACCTTTTTTAACCCAGTGGAACAAATTTTGGACTTTTCTCTTTTTTGAGACAGAGTTTCACTCTGATGCCCAGTAGAGTGCTGTGGTATCAGCAACCTACTCTGAGGTTGCTGTGGAGTAACCTCAAACTCCTGGGTTCAAGAGATCCTCTTGCCTCAGCCTCCTGAGTAGCTAGGATTACAGGCGCCCACTACTACACCTGGCTAGTTTTTCTGTTTTTATTAGAGACAAAGTCTCACTCTTGCTTAGGTTGGTCTCAAACTCCTGAGCTCAAGCAATCCAGTTGTCTCAGCCTCTGAGAGTCTGAGGATTACAGGCATGAGCTACTAGGCCTGGCCCAGATTTCGGATTTCTGGCCTCCACAGCTATAAGACTATAAATGTGTGCTGTTTTAAGTCACCAAGTGCTATGATCTGAGGTATGCTAGGATCCTCCCAAGGTTCATATGCTGAAGCTTCATGCCCAGTGTGATGCTATTAGGAGGTGGGCCTTTGCAGGATAATTAGGTCATGACAGTGGAGCCCTTATGACATTATAACCCCTTATAAAAGACTTGTTTTACCCCTCCCCCATATGAGGGGACATAGAAGTCACCACCTGTGAGGAATGCACCCTCATCAGACACCAGATCTGCCAGCACCTTGATCTTAGACTTCCTCACCTCCAGTACTGTGAGAAATAAATTTCTATTGTTTCTTTTTTTAATTTCTGCTGTTTCTAAATTACCCAATTCGTGGTATTTTGTTATAGCAGACCAACTGGACCAAGATGCCACACAGTACTCTGCTGGCACAGAAACTAACATAGACATCAACTGGTTCCCAAAGGCTGGGGTAAGGGAATTAGACCAAAGGGAGAGAGGCAGAGGTTAGGGGAGCCCAGGCAGAAACAATGGCAGCTGGACCTGGGTGGCAGTTGAAGAGAGAAATGGTCAGATTCTGGATGCATTTTGAGTTGTTAAACAGACAACTGATATGCAACAACCACAACAACTAGTACAGAAAAACAGCAAATAAACATGAGAGATTTTTCTTCTTAATGAGGAGAAAACATCTAATTTACCAGAGATTGAGAATGTAATCACGGCAACAGTGTGGCACAGAAGGCAAGAACATGTATGGGGGAAATTCTGAGACCACCTTATAAACCCAGCACCCACAGTCGGATTTCACTGTCTGGTCAGTGGCTAAATGGAGTCAGAAAGATGGGAAAACAAAGTCCAGCCAAACGGTTCCTCCCAGCCCCATTCATTGGCACTCAGCCTCATGGGGTGTGAGGAAATTAAAGGAGAAGAGACAGACAAATCTTAAGAAATGAGGGGCTTGGCGCCTGTGGCTCAAGCAGCTAAGCCACCAGCCACATACACCTAAGGTGGCGGGTTCGAATCCAGCCTGGCCCTGCCAAACAACAATGGCTGCAAC